TTTTTGGCTTTTTTTTCTTAATTCGCCTTTGCCATTGACTATAGTTTTGTTAACTGTAGAGCGGAGCCCTCCAATTGATGAGGTGATTAAGGCTGGAGTTGTCCCTAGATTTGTAGAATTCCTCGGACGGCATGACCTGCCTCAGCTTCAAGTATGTGTTATTTATAGTTCCTTTTTTTCCTGTTATGTTGTGTTTACTCAAGATGCAGTTACAATATTACGTTTGCCTTGATCTTTCCTGTGCCTGCAGTTTGAAGCTGCCTGGGCATTGACAAATGTTGCATCTGGAACATCGGAACATACTCGCATCGTGATTGACCATGGAGCTGTTCCGAAGTTTGTACAACTTCTTAGCTCAGCCAGTGATGATGTCCGTGAACAGGTAATTGTTTTGTTATTTTACACTATTATATTAACCTGTGCACCCGACAGTCTCACGTGAACTTCAGTATTCTCCTGGTGAGTTTAAAGTTTAAAACTATGTCACCCATTATGCAGATCACTTCGGTTTGTGGAACATGAATGACTTTGCAATTTGTTATCTAACCTAAAGTCTAAAACATAATTCAGTATTAAGTTATACTTCCAGAAACCTTGATAAGAAAGGACAATCATATTACATTAATCATTTCTTAATAATTCTACAATTTTAAGCAAAATCATGTCTAAAGTAAGAATAATTGTTTTCCTTAATTTTTCCTTGTTCATACCAGTGGTATTAGTGTGCTACGTAGTGGTAGTTTTGTATCTTCTTATTCTTATATTTCTGTTATCATTTGTTGTTTCGTTGACTTTGATTTGCTGATTGGCCTGTTGGGGTTACTACTTGTTACTCCTTTCTTCTTATCTTTCCTGAGCCGAGGGTCTATCGGAAATAACCTCTATATCTTTTCAAGGTAGGGGTAAGGTCTGCGTACACACTACCCTCCCCAGACCCCACTTGTGGGACTACACTGGGTTTGTTGTTGTTGCTTTTTACTTGCATGTCCTGATTAAAAAAATGTAATATGATTTTCCTTAAGTGCAGTTGGATTTAGAGAGGGAAAAAAAGTGATGGAGATGTAAAAATAAAGAATAATAAAAATGGATAACTAACTAAACTTAATGTACCAAGTAGCCAGTGCGCCGCAACTGTGGGATCCATTTTGCACAAGGGATTAGTGAGTTGTGGTAGCTCTGTTTTCAAGGAGCTTGATACTAAGTGAAAGCCTAGCGATATTGATTGTTGTACAAATGTAGGAGGTTTGCAAAATTCCCAGATATTGCTTCTGTAATTTCTGTACATGATGCTCTGTTTTCTTCAAAGAGTTTTGATGTCCAACTTCTAAAAACGTGCAAGTCCCTTGACAAAAAAGACATAAGAGCTTAATAATTGTTGGTTCTTTCTAAAACTTTGGGTAACAATTCTATTGTAACACCAATTTACTAAACAGGCAGTCTGGGCTTTGGGCAATGTTGCTGGCGATTCCCCAAGTTGCAGAGATCTTGTTCTAAGCCAGGGTGCACTGATGCCATTGCTAGCTCAGCTGAATGAACACTCAAAGCTTTCAATGCTAAGAAACGCAACATGGACTCTCTCTAACTTTTGTCGAGGCAAACCACCAACACCATTTGAGGCGGTAAGTGGACTTGGGTTATGCTTCCTTCTAATGAAAGCTTTTTTGTGTTTTATAATATTGTTCCAGATCTACCTAGATAGTTAAAGTTTTATTTCAGAAAATAATTGCCTGACAGTGTATTTTATAGGTCAAACCTGCATTGCCTGTTCTTCAACAACTTATCCACATGAATGATGAAGAAGTCTTGACAGATGCTTGTTGGGCCCTTTCTTATTTATCTGATGGCCCAAATGATAAGATTCAGGCTGTAATTGAGGCAGGTGTCTGTCCACGACTTGTGGAGCTTCTTCGGTATGTTCTAACTTCCTCTACAATCGTTGTTTTTAGTCTGCATCCATGCTTTTAGGGGGTTGGATATCGGTCTCTGACATCCAACTTCATGCTTGCATTATCATAAAAATCCAACTGATTTGACGCTAACTTTGGCTTTTTCCCACTTGTCTTATGAAGTCATCCGTCGCCTACAGTTCTCATTCCTGCGCTCCGGACCGCGGGAAATATTGTCACTGGTGATGATGCTCAAACACAGGTACGGCTACTTCATCTTCTGGGTGAATCAATGTTCTGATATTACCTTTATCGTGTTTAAATTATCTTTGCACTTTGTCTTTCAGGTTACTGTATCTCCACATCAAAAATCTAAATGATATGAAACTGTTGTACGGTTGATTATGTTATCCTAGTTTAGCATGTGAATCTGTTTATTGAGCACAAGTTACTAAGTAACACTGCCAATATTTTTATCATGTCTCTTTGTCTTTCAGGATGAAGTTGTATAGATTCCTCATAATTAAGAAAAATTGAAAAATTCTTCTAATATCACCTCCGCTTCTACTTGAATATGGATTTAAGCGTTTAACAAGTGTGTTTCTCCTCTCTTTCTTTCGCTCTATTTTCACATGACTAATTGCTTTATATATTTCAGTATGTGATTGACAACCAAGTGTTGCCATGTCTGTGTCAATTGTTAACTCAAAATCACAAGAAAAGCATCAAGAAGGAGGCGTGTTGGACAATCTCTAATATCACTGCTGGAAACAAAGCCCAAATACAGGTATGTCTCCGTTCCAGTTAAGCTCTTGTTGTGTTCTGATTTAATTAGTCTGTTTAAGGAAATGAAGGCAGTGTATTGCGGAAGCTCGTAGCTTTGATCCCAATAAATGCTCCGTCTCCCCCTTGAGAATAATTTCAGTTTGCACTTTTTGACTAATTTGGGATGGAAGAAATAAGTAAATCATAGAAAAGCAAAAGAGATGTAACAAGTATAAAAGAAACCAAGTGAAACGGATAGGGAGGATTCATAAAGCCAACCCTGACTACTTTGGAACTAGGCATGGTAGTTTAATGTTTTTCTTTTCTTTTTGTGTAAAGAGAAGTTCCTTGTGGGTATAGATAGTTGAGATTATTGCTAGATTGACTGTGATTAAGTCAGTGTTGTCAAATGTAAAATATGTAGAATACACCAGGGTTTCTGGGACTTTAAAGTGTCCCAAATTGGTTGAAGGAGCGGGTTGGCATAATTAAAATATGGAATTTAGTGAAAAGAAAATGCAAACGAAGAATATATATATATATATATATATATATATATATATATATAAAGGAATTGTCAATGAGGATATGTACGAAAGGAGCTCTTACAAGTGTTAGTACAATAGGAGATACAATAGGGTTCCCCATAATCTTGGATGTCATTCCCATAATCATGTGGGTTTAGTTTACAAAAGGGACCTACATCTAGCACGGTATTTGTTAACCTTAGTTATGTATAAACTCATTAATAGTACACATGATGAGCTTCAATGCTTTATGCTATTTGCAAACTATTTGTGTTAAGTGATGAAACTAGTGAGGATTATCAACCAAAATATTGAACTATAAAGAAACACTTTAGACACTAAGGTTTTAGGATAAGTAGAAATAATATATGCACGTCAAGTTTAGCCAATATAAGAATAGTGAAATTGACGTGAGATTATACGGGATTTTGCTACTTAAATATACCCAATTCAGATATTTAGGCTCAACTTCTTGGAGAATGGTATGATAGATGAAGATTCAACACAGAGAATTAAAATACCATGGTTGAGATGGAGAAGTGCTGCTGGAGTGTTATGCTCTATGAAGAACCAAGAATTTATTTCATTGAGAAGCTCACTTCCTTTTCGTCAATTTTTTTTTTTCAGATTTCTTTTTTCCCCTTTCAGGGGATGAAAGGAATTGATTCAGGAAGTTCTCTTTATCTTCTTTATCTTTATATGACGTCTTGCTACTAATGCACTTACACATTTCTTTCTAAACAGGCTGTTATTGAGGCAAATATTATTCCTCCCTTGGTTCACCTATTGCAAAGTGCAGAATTTGACATTAAGAAGGAGGCGGCATGGGCTATCTCAAATGCTACCTCTGGAGGATCTTATGACCAGATTAGGTTTGTTCTGTGTCTGTATATTCTCTGCGAGTGTGCATTGATTGCACTATTTGTCTGATATAACCTATGATCCCATTATCTTCTTCTTGTAACCCAAGCCAATATGAGTTTTCAAGAAAAGAACTATTCGTGAAGTTTAAGCGAAACTAACGGCAAATTTCTCCTCTAATTTGATGATAAATGATGATCAGATGACTGTTCATGGAGTCTTTTGCCCTGTGTAGGCATTTTGTTGGAGTATTATCTGATGATAAAGTATGCAAAGTTCCTGGTTTGAAACACGAACCAATATTTAGTGAATGCTGGTCTACTCATTATCTTGACACGTTAGAGGATTTCCAATATTTGTAGTTAGAGGTTTTAACCGTTTAAGGGAATAGCTAGTAGGTTTTTGAATGAGCAAATTGTGGGTTACTGTGCAACTGTGAAAAGATGAACATTTCAATTACAAGAGTTGAAAGTCTAACATTCTTATTTCAAATGAGTGGAGGGGCCAATAATGGGATCTTTTTGTGTATCCTATTGCAGATTCTTGGCAAGTCAGGGTTGCATTAAGCCACTATGCGATCTCCTGATATGTCCAGATCCCAGAATTGTTACAGTATGTTTGGAGGGGCTCGAGAATATATTAAAGGTAGGCGAGGTGGACAAAGAAGCTGGCATGAATGGTGGAATTAATTTATATGCACAAATGATGGATGAATGTGATGGATTGGACAAGATCGAGAATCTCCAAACCCACGACAACAACGAGATTTATGAGAAGGCCGTAAAGATCTTGGAGAAATACTGGGCTGAAGAAGATGAAGAACAAATTTTCCCCGATGGCGTTGATGGGAATCAACAAGGTTTCCAATTCGGAAACAGCCAGCCTAATGTTCCTGCAGGTGGATTCAAGTTTGGGTAGAAAGATTATAGCAGAGTCTGTTTTGTTTTATAGGTCTCTTCACTCGTGGAGCACAAGGATGTAATTGGATTTTCTTGTTGCCAAGGGTCAGGGTTTTTGGTCTGGCACAAAGGCTTTTTGAATTATGCGTGGAATTTGCTGAAAATGTAATGTTTTAGGATTTTTTTTTTTTTTTTTCAACATCACGGCAAAAAATCGATGTTCCTTTGACTGGCTTTTTATGTGAGGTACAGGATGTTTTTATGTGGTTATATCTTTGCTTAAGAAATAAGAATAGCTGTTCACTCTCACTATCATCTATCTAGTGTCAAGATCAGCGTCATTTTTGGCTGTATCAAGAGACTAGATTGCGTCTAAAAGCACACTTGTACAATAATAAGGGAAGAAGAAGACCACAAGTTGGGAGGAAAGGGGGTACATAGCTCTTGAATATCATCAAAATGGTGCTATACGTCCACATATCAATGAAATTCAAAACTCATACGTCATTAGATTATGTAAATTGTAGCGTCTATTGCACGTGGCATCAGGCATGCATCACTTATTTAATGTAATACTGTTCACATTATCTAATTTGGTAGTTCCGTATGAACATATAAATTATCTCATCAAAATATCAGGCCACGTGTCGGACATGGTAGAGATCTTGACGGAGGAAGAGTATTTTTGTGTCAATACTATAACGTGGAGGACTTTTATAGACAAATAGTATAACGGAGGGCATATATGATTCTTTTCGCACAGTAGAGAGATATTTTTGACCTTTTCCGAAAAAGAATTTATTCCATTATTTTATATAATTTAAATCATTATTATATTTAGCACCATTTAGTTATTATAAAAATTCAAATTTGAATGAATTTATTATTCCTGCCGACAGATTTAAAATGACATATGTCCATGCACTACGGAAGTCATTATCATCGTCTATACGTGTCTTTAATTGGAGTAGAGTCCACTTTTTTTCTAAGAAAAAACAAAATAAAAAGTGGAGGACAAAAAATGAGCAGCAAATTAAAGGTCCCCCAGTATATACCTCTCCTTTGATATGGGAAGTAAGTCTCGTATGACCCGTTCTGCTTTCTTAAAATTCACATACCATACTTTATGAAAATGTATTCTGAACTTTCGGTAAATATTATTTACCTGTATTTATATCAAATTAATAATTCAATTTTAATATGCAGTTAAATAAAGTGACAATACATATTACTGTTTAACCATAATTCAGTTATAAATATGTGCATGAAAAATATATATCTTCTATTTATTGATTTGGCGTTTGTATAAATTTGTGCTCCCATGCGGCAACACGTGGGGATTAATTATATTGCAGACTGGATAATTGTGCGGTTTGCTTGTGAATAGTGAATTGTATCATTTTTTACGAGGCAAAAAGCATTCACAAATATTAACATCGAAGGATAAGAAAGATTTTGACAGGGGAATCACATGAGTTATATTTTGGACATAAATGTTATGAAAACATGTCAAACTTCTGTCCAATGAAAATGTGGAAATTTGGCGGCAAATTGGAAATCAAAAGGAATTTGGAGGGAAACGATAGATGCCAAATGGAACATGGTAAAGAAAAATCTCAAAAGCCTGTGTGAATAATGACTTTTTACTTTGGCATTTAGCGTAACTAATGAAATTGAAAGGACATAACTCAGGAGTCATGAGCATTAATAAGACAGATTTCTTGACCCAAAATGGGTGGGAGTCGTGACTCGTGGGACACAGCTAAGAAGAGACCCTTAAGTCTTAAGAATTGATTTTTCACCCTGGCATGACTGTAGTCACGTTCGTTGAAAAAGAAACCGGTAAAAGGAGTTAGTTCCTTATTAATGTATGGGTCAAAATCTGTCCTATAATTTTTAAGATAAAATAACGCTAAAGAAAGAATTCTCGTGCCGTCGTTAGTTGAGGTGGACTAGGAAGCAGCAAGACTCATAGCCTATGAGTCTATGTGTCACAACTCGCATTTTGGAGTTGTGATTTCGGCCAAGAACTGGTGAGAAAAGGTCCTTCTGATGGTCTGACGTAGAACTGTCTACTCGGGCAACATGGGCTTTTTAATTTTAAGCATATATAAGGGGGTATAGGTGATGAAAGCTCCGACCTGCCTCCCCCATACGTGCTGCCACCGAGCCGTATCGAATGAGCTACCTTGGGACAACCTCAAGGGCCTGCCTAGATGACTCAAAGGAGTGTCAAAGGCACCCATACGGGTTAGGAAAACTCTATGGGCGGTGCAACGCCTTCGGGATAGCGTTGGACATCAAGCAGGCGCTGGAGGCTCGATGTGTGGGACGGCCAGCCCCGCGGGCTACCGAATGTTGGAAGGAGACCTCTGTGCCGATTGGATACTTGACGCACCTGTCATAGGGGCATCATGTGTCGACTTGTGAGCATGGCTTGGGTTCAACCATGCAAGCAAGGGTCCGTTGGCCTAAAGGTGTAGGTGTGGGTGACACTGCACTACTTCGGAATGGAAGCGTGCTGCAAGAGGGCTATGTATGGGCATGGTACGAAAGACGTGCATGACAATGGCCAAAGGCTAAAGGTTGCCTTACTCGAGCGAGGCACGAGCTAGTCGCGGATGCACTAGGCGAGTGTCAAGC